ATCTCACCAGCGTACGATTCAATTACTTTTCTGACTTCGGAGTCATCACAGCCAGCTGAGACGTAGACAGGAAATTGGATGGGACCTCTATAATGCGTCCGAAGATGTGCCAACAAGTTATCTAGTGTACGCCTCACCGTCGGTCGGTTACATGCAAGAACGATTACAGGAATGACTTTCGGAAAAACTGGCTTATCAAGAGGGAACGACGCTCCCACCGGTGGAACATCAGGCAGTCGTGCAGTCTTCTACAAAGTCATTAAAAGGTGTGGATTACCGGAATGTTTATTCCTCCGAGTCCGGAGCGCTGATGTCGCATTGAATATTCACCAGTTCTGTCAATATTGTAGAAATAATTGAGATAAACAAGCTGGAGGACGAGGAAGGAAGCTCCAATGAGAACAACCCAAAGTAATCGCGTGCGTAATAACGCGGGCATTGGGGTACCTAAAGTAGACTTTTGGCATGACAAGCGAAGCCGAAAATCAAGGACTAATTGACTGTAAAATGGTACTTTGGACGGAAGTTATGTATTTAAATAAATAAAGGACCGTTCAAAAAATATTGCATCGGCATGCAGTAAGACATACGACATGGGCTGCAAGAATGAGCACACTTCCCAGTTCCGTGAACGATAAATTATTGGTGACGGAGAAGGGTGGTCGAGCACCGGACATTTTGTTTATCGCCCTGAACTTTTGAACTCGTGAAGGAGTCCATCGTCCGAGATAGTAGCAGCAACAGAACAAGCGACAGTCATAGGGCGTGGAAGCCAATCGTCGACCGATGGCGCAAGACTGGATGTGACTGCGCAGGGCTCTGTACGCCAGCGCCAAATCGATAAATAGATTGGCTGAGTTCTCATCCGAGGTCCAGGCTTCAATCAATTCTCGGCCTGTTTTGTTTCCGACGTGGGCGACTACTTCGGCGGCCGTGAAGTTAAATTAAAGAACTATTTCGTAGGGGTAGGCGGCCACTTGTGTTAATACGTTGCCTCATCGCACAGCCAGCTTTTGTTCGTGTATGCGCGATCTCAGTATGCGTTCAGTCTGGCCTGCGTAATTACAAGGACAGTTTAGGCACGGGATGAGATACACTACCTCAGACTGCTCCTCGGGCCTTAAACGGTCTTTAATTTTCATGACTCTACTGCGCACGGTGGGCCTTGGGGCGGTGTGCAATTCCAACACCTAGCTCCACAGCACTGCGCTCGGTTGTGTCTGAGATGCCCTTGATGTATGGCAGAGAATGACGTATCGTTGGCAGCTTTGACGTTTGGGTCCTCTGGGGGCGACCGCATAGACAGCGACTTATGAATGCCCTCGGATAGCCATTTTGTGAAAATTGATCGTAGGGATAAGGGGTCTCACGTGCTCTTTCCGCCGATTTGCTGCAATGAGCTTGGATCCGTTTGGAAAGGGTCTTCACACAGCATCGTTTGTGAGTCACCGGATGGTTGCTGTGAAAACTGAGAAGGTAGATTATGCAAAAATGAAACCATAGACGGTACTGTCTTTCATTTTGATGCGCCAACTCAAGATCTCCAAGAGATTCACTCGCTGCCCGCACGCGCCTTCTATCTGACCCCAGCGGATTCTGAGGACTTGTCCCAGCTCTTGTGCCAGGGTCCTTAAAGCATCAAGAATGGTTGTCGGAGTAATGTACCAATTCCTGTCCGCGAAATGAGGTATGCTCGGACTTCGTCAGAAATAAGTTTTCCCTGAGGAAGAAGTCACTGCCGTATAACAGGACGGAGGGTACAAAGTCGAAGGTCTTGATAAGACTTCAGAACATATCTCTCCACACTTTTGTGACATCAAATCGCAGAGCGGTAGCTGACATTCACCATCCTCGTACATACAGTAACAAGCACATCTAAAACAAGGGATGCACATAAAAACTTCCGCAAAAATGCAGACGGCTGTTAGCTGACTCGGTACTCAACCACATGGTCTCAATTCTATTGCATATAGGACATCTAAGAACTGAGTTTTGTGCTCTTCAAACACCCACTCAAGAGCATTCTCCTTTGACAACTGCGTTTGTTACGAGTCGTCGGTGTTATACACTCGGCGAGCTATAACGTCCTTATTCTGCTCCGCAATAATCGGCTGGTTGAGTCCGTCTGGCGGTGGAGGGAAAGGGAAAGCAACGTGAAAGTGCACCAAAGTTCGGCCGTCTCTTCCCTCCAAACCCTATTAGTTACACAACATGCGGTCAACACCTGACACCACGGTCCCTTTCGCACAGCCGTAAACTAAGAAGACTGAGATTGAAAAATACCAGACGTAACAAAGCAAATTGAAACGAAAACAGGGCTATTACGGAGTCAAGGTTTAAAAAAGCAATCACGCCGAAGGAGAAAAGCAGCCGATGAATATTACACCAAACTTTCTGTTATAAACACCTACCGTTGGCCGTCTCTTTTTCGGCTCGGCCCATATACTCAGTAGCACATTTTATTACTGCCATATCCAACTTATGCCATGTTTTCCCTTTGTTTTTAAAAAACTCTGAGAAGCTGTAAAATGTTCTTTTGTTTTTTGCTTTTTGGTTTTTTTGTTGGTGCGAACTTAACTTAGACACGGACGCCAAGCACCTTTCTTTCCTCCTCAATTTTAGGCACCAATTTTTTAGCATTTTGTTCCAAGCTCACACCCTCTGACAAAAGGATATTTTGTGAGCCCGAAAGTTCAGGTCTTATACGCCTACTGTCGTATTAGCGGCATACCCACTTTTTAAGTTGTCTTTCCACCCTGGTAGCGAAACCATATCAAGGTGACAGCGACGCGCTGTGGAAAAGTCTCGATAGGTATGACCGATTTATGGCGGATTATGTCAAATAGTCGCGATACCTCGCTGTGTGACGGCGGCATTGGAAATGCTTCTTTTTGCCCGGCATGTCTTTTATAACCAACGTCCCGTATTACCTGCTAGCCCATTCGCTTTCTTAATTGGCATACTACGCTGACCACAAAGGAAGTTTAAGTCAAGCATGGCTCACTGCTTACGCTGGAAAAATCTTTTTGTTGTAAAAAAAATAGAATACAAAAGGCTGATCTTCTTTGATCTCCTCCCGCGTTTTCGATGAAGGACGCGACGGGCCTGTGGTAGGTTCTAAACGGAGGAATTAAACTAGGGAACTGTGACACTTAGCGTTACGATCGTTCAATAATGAACCAGGCCGACACCGCCGCTTGCGGAATGCGTCAAAGGAGCGTTTTAGTCGCCTTGTGAAAGCGGCCTCTAACTCATAAACGTCTCTGCGGCCTCCTTTTTTTACAAGGCATGCACCTCTATTTAGCAATATATCACGTGCCGACGCGTTAACATACCTTTAATTATCTCGTATACCTATGAACCACACACGTCCTCCTTATATTTTGCCCTTAAATTCGATGTGTTCCGTCACATCGTCATCGGAGATGGCATAGAACACCGCCTTGACGAAGTCGTCAGTATCACTTCCGTCTAGACAGATCAGAAAATCTCTCTAAAAATATGCCGTGACATTTTTGAAAAGTACCACTCGACCTCTGTACTGTGGCTCTCAAAGCCTGTTACTGACAGCAGTAAACTCGAATTTTGTGCATATGGGCCACCTAATGGGATTGGAGGGCAAGGCGGCCGTCGAGTCATTAGATGCAGTCTTCTCATCTTTGGAAAATGACCTCGTGGACCTCAAGCGCTCGTGCACATGCAGATTACTCTTGATCAACCATGTCAACTGCCTGCGCGTAAGCTTTTTGTTCCTGTCTTTGACGCTCTGGTTGATGCAGACTGGTCGAGACTCCTGCACGAATTGTGTGATGACGGTAATTTACGAAAGCAGTATGCAACAGATAGCATTACCCTCATTGCTTGCTTGCCTTCGTGCTGGCAGTGTATCCAGGGCATCCATATCTGAGTCATTAACGTCCCACAAAATGCTTGATGTAACCTTATGCAACTCACCATGGGTGACAGTGGCGGCTCGCCCATCTTCCAAGATGGACTGTCGTAAGGATCCTTATGCTGTCCGGTAGGCCTGCGGCAAGCGTTTTCTTCATCACTGGAATCCATGAGTGTATCTACAACCACACAGGCAAGAGGGGATTATAGAATTTGCCTGTAATTATTTATACGTCAGCCCCTGATGCTTATAAACTACCAACTGGGGTGTGTGCAGTTGTTAGGTTTACGAGCACTGCCCCATTTTGGCTGGGATTTAGTGGTTGACAGCTGTTGTCTGTTATCACCTGTCTATTATTTCCGTGATTACATACGACTGTACACGTGGAAAACAAACGTACTTAGAGAAGTAGACGGGAAGGTTTGCACAGCCGATGGCGCTTGAAATGTCAGCTGTGTAAACCTTTATAGTTGAGGAATTCGTAGAATAAAGGAAGTAATCAGCAAAGTGAATGAACTCGCTGTACAATATCAGGATACATCCTGTGTTGTAACGCAGAATGTTGCTCACGCCTGTGGTCTTATCACCGAGATCAATGCACCAATTAGCTACTGATGTGTCCACCCTGTGTCGTGAGCCGAGCATACATGTAAATTGCCCTCGCACCTCAACACCTTCGCGAAGCGGGCCCAACTTGTGCACACGCAGAAGCATAATATTTTCGCCAAACTGCGTGGAGCTTCCTTGGATGTCCGTCTCACGAAGTCGCCTAGCCATTTGTTGCAAAGCCCTCGATGGGCTTAGCAACAGCTTCTTCAATCGACCAAAGTAGCTCTCGAAGGGAAAGGAAGAGAAGCCGTTCAAGGCTCCGTGACGTCAACATCATCAACAGTATGCATGATGCTATACACATTG